GTGTGGGTGTGGATGTGGGTGTGGGTGTGGATGTGGGTGTGGGTGTGGATGTGGGTGTGGATGTGAGGCAAGAAGAGATCGACATCTGAAATCACACCCACACCCACATCCACACCCACACCCACATCCACACGTATACACATACACCCACATCCACCCGCACCCACACCACACACCCACACCCTCATTCTTCTCCCTGACATTCACGAAAATGCATTTATTGATCTATGACCCTGACTAATAAGATTTTGAGTTTGTCAAAATAAAATTAATCTTTTCTTTTTATTGATATGGATTTGTTGAATAAAATATTCCATTATTTGAACTTTCATGACAATCATATTGATGATCAAGAAACCATTGTTTTTCATTCCAAAACTCCGATCTAAATGGATTACTTTAAAACCCGTTGTGTATGGAGTGTGCTGTATCAATTAAATGCTAAGCTCTATGTATTGAAACATGAAACGTGTGCTTTCTTGCTATCTAAAAATGACGGCTTAAAATACCATTTATGTATTTTAAAGAAAGCAATGGATACTGTCACGAGTCTCTTCCATTCGAATGTAAGCGATGGTTTCATCAACAATCTGTTATTTCGTATTTGTTCTTTTCAGGTAATTCTATCTTCTAATTCATGACTTCGCTACTATTGAATGATTTTCTATTTTAGTCTCACAGGTTTGAGTTTTGTTTGACATGCCCATCTACAGGGTGTGTAAAAATGTTTTTCCAGGGGGCTAACGCCATGATTTTAAATAGGATCAATAAAAGCTTTTATACCAAATGAAAGCGCGTCGAAAATGGGGTTTATCAGTATTAAATGGTAAGGGTTCTGCTAATTTTTTTATATTAAACATAACAGATTTTTAGCAATTTTCGCTATCTTAGTATGAAAAAATTTCTTTAATGAGGCAGTTCGCACTAAATCTGATTCAAAATGATGGATGATATCAAGCAGATTTATTTTTTCAGATTTGATGAATAAAATCAATTATCAGTATGACGTTCATTAGCATTTTTTACTGCACGAAGACGTGATGGATAGGAACATAAGAGAGTTTCAAATAACTCAGTGTTTGATTCCATCTTTGTCAAAACATATGACAGGTGTTTTTTTTATGTTTCTTTCACATAACGGCTATCTTCTGTTTCTGATAACATTTTTTGCTCTACTTCATTTTTAATTATTGCTCCAATATGTTCAGCTACATTCAGATCAGATGAATTTCCAGGCCAGGTGTCATTTCCCAAAGATTTATATTGTTGTCTTGAAATAAATGTTGAGTCATATTTGCTTGCATACATGGTGCCTTGTCATGAACAAATATGACGTCATCCGCATCGATTACATTTTCTTCATCTTTGAGGAATGGAAATACGTATTGCATTAAAATAGTATCACGAAAATATTGACCGGATCACGATTCACCTTTATCTTTAAGTACCCAATGCAACTTTTTTTCAGTGAAAATGATAAAAATGCCGATGCACGCTTGGTTTTTAACCATTTCGCGATATCTTTCATCATCTTCAATATCTTCAACACTTTTTGCCCAAATTCGATCATTCTGATAATTTGATCTGCGCACAGTCCAAGTATAAAATTCATCCGATGATGCAAGATGGAGAAAGTCCTCTTGAGTCCAATATTTTAACCAATCACAAAACCACAACCTGTCTGAGATATGAGTTTCTGTTTTTAACGGCCTTGGAATAACATGAAACGGCTTTATTCCTTCTCTATGACGATAATTGGCAATTGTTTTTGAAACAACATATTCCTTGTGTTTTTCTGCAATTTCTTTCATCATAACATAAATACTTTTTCTTTGTTTACCACTTACACTGAGAATGAGGTTTCTACTTGCATCTGATAGTTTAAGTGTACGACCACGTTCGGAATAATCAGCAAAACAATCATCATATGACTTTTCCCACCATTCTGTACCAAATCGCGTAGTACGATGAATTTTGTCTGCAATCCATTGTCGATTAATAAATGTTGTAACGGCATCCCGAGCTTCACGAAAAGCAATACATTTGATTCTATCGATAATTCTTTGCTGTTCTGTGTCATAAGTACCAGCCATTTTCAGTCAATTAAGTTAAATTGCTTAACAAAAAGGATCAATTGTTTTTGTGTATGAAATTTATAAACCGCGAAACGATCTTATATAGTGTTCCACACGTACTTAAAAGTTTCGCTCTAACATAGAATAGGAGTGAAAAAAGCACTATTCGATAACTGAATTGAAAATGTGACTGCAGAACGAAAAAATGGCCTGCAGTAAATAAAAATGAATACTGCTTTATCATTTCTATTGCTCTGACGGTATGCCGTCATTTGTATTCAAAAGAAGAAGATAAAAAGACAATAGAACAAAAAAGAATGATATTATCTTGTGAGCTGGATCATACTGAATAATTAACACAACGATATTTCTATTAAATTTTGTGGAAAAAGCATCTTTCTTGTCTAATGACTCATTATCAATAGATTACCCCAACTATACTGCGGAAATCTCTAGAGATTTGTTATGTTTGATATAAAAAAAAATTGGCAGAACCCTTGCCATTTAATACCGACAAACCCCATTTTGGATACGCTTTCATTTGGTATAAAATTTGTTATTGATCCTATTTAAAATCACGGCGTTATCCCCCTGGAAAAACATTTTTACGCATCCTATATTCATATGTATTAATGATAGTTTGCGTGAAATGTCAAACGTGTCAAGGAGTGTCTCAGTATGGTGAATGTTCGACGAATAGTGCATGTGGTTGTTTTCATACGAAAGCTGCTGAAGGCAGTGGTATTTGTGCTTTTCTGTGGTTAACTTGTTCTCAACTTATCTCGTGTGAACCTTTAAATAATGTTTGTTATCAGCCTGGTCATGTCTGTGTTCATCATTCTCGATGTTTTGATCATCCAATTTGTTATCCATTGTCAATGACTGAACCAATCTGTCCACCAAGTGAGACAACAAAGTGTTACTCACAAATTGAGGCGAAACTTGAATTTCTATTCAAAAATTCTATCATAGTTCCTGGACGAAAACATTAGAAAGTGTCTTTGCACCCAGTCCAAAAAGTGTCCGGACACCTCATGTTTTTTCATCTTTTGATTTGCGAAGCAGAAACAAGAGATAAAAATTTTCTTTTTGCACCAATAGATAGTCTTCACTTCATACTCGGTTCTGTGTAAACATCAGCAACTTTGACTATCATCTTGAATTACGGGACCGTGTCTCATGAAATATGGGGCATCCGGATACTTTTTGGACTGGGTGTAAAAGTGTTTTATATAGAGAAGTAGATAGTGAAAATTTGAGAATTATGCAAAAATTCTCTCTTGTACGTCTGTAATTCCTGAAATTGCTGTGTTCCATTTTTGGCAATTTCCATACTTTACATCTATGATTGGAAAATATCTTTTGACAGAAATGTGTACATACCAGCTATTCGGATAATGATAAAATGAAATGAAAGTTTTACTGAGCCAACGAATATCTTTTGTTCTTCGTGTTAATTTAGTTCCATCTTTACCGTTGAGACCTGGTGATGACATTTGTGCAAACGCAACTTGGGCTAAAAATGCTACTACGATAGCTGGTGGCAATGGTCAAGGATCTCAACTCAATCAGTTCGATCGTCCACATGGACTTTTTCTTGATGACAATCAAAATCTCTATGTTGCAGATAGTGTTAATGACCGAATAGTTAAATGGGGTCGTAACGTTTCAAGTGGTCAGCTAGTCGCAGGTGGAAATGGAAGAGGAAACGATAGCAATCAACTAAATTTTCCACTGGATGTTAGTGTCGATCCAAATGGAACAATGTACATTAGTGACAGAGGTAATGAGCGTGTTCAGCGATGGTCTCTCGGTGCTCGAAATGGACAAACAATTATAGATGATATATTTGTCTTCGGTATAGTACAAGATGATCAAGGTTCACTGTATACGTCTGATCTGCGAAAAAATGAAGTGAAGAAATGGCGAATCGGCGAGATGATTGGACAGTCGATCACTTCAGAAGTTCAATTTCCGGGCTTACTATTCGCTGATCGATATCGATCGATCTATATATCCGATGTATTCAACGATCGAGTGATAAAAGTAGATGACCAAACAACACAAATCTCGGTTGTTGCTGGGGGATCTAGAGGCGATGGTGCAAATCAATTCTATTTTCCAAGTGGTGTTGCTGTCGATGGGCTAGGCACTGTCTATGTGGCTGATTCGTATAATAACCGAGTAATGCGATGGCAACATGGTACTACATTTGGCACTGTTATCGCTGGTGGTCGTGGTCAAGGTTCTCGATCTGATCAATTCGATAATCCTATTGGTATTTTATTTGATCTTGACGGAAATATATATGTTGTTGATCAGAATAACAATCGGGTGCAAAAATTTGACATTGATAATAATTCGTGCTGAGACAACGAAGTCAATTAGTCTTTCCTACACTCAATTGTTTCTTATTTCGTCAGAACAAAGACAGTCGAAAATGAAATCATATTGAGCTTCATAGAAAAGAGTCATCGAAAAGTGTCCACTATGATGTCTCTTATCTCTCAACCTGATTGTCTTAATTGTAAACCAATTTACAATAAAATGGCACACGTATGTTCTACGCAACTGAAAAAGAAGGTGTAAGGACGAGTTGATTTGAGAACCTTTCCCAAAATGAAGAAAGATTTAAACATCGGTCATCTTCAGTCAACCCACATAGGAACGCAGAATCAAATTCTATCGCATGCTCCACTATATAATATTCGTACATCAATGAGCACCATCAGAGCCATACTTATAATCATTCAATGCCCTGGACAAGAGAAAAACGTTTACCCTAGAAAGGGGATCGACCCCACATCCCTCTAATTTCGTGCTACAGTTATATATGCCAACGAACCCATCAAGGATACATGTCTAAGTCTGTTTTGTAGGTATTTTGTTTCAACCTTTCCATTTTTTCCTTCAAAATTATTTTCTTCGCAAGTGATTCTGCCATAAGTTCTAATGCAACATCTAGTGTTTTGCCTCTTTTTCGTTCTTCAAGTCTATCTTTTCCCAATGGTGCTTCTTCAGCAACAAATCAATAAATTTCAGCTGCTCCTCCACACATTTTTGATGATACATCCACATGTTCCAATGTCTTGGTAACTTCTTCCATTCCACATATAAATTGTGCTGCTTTCGGTGGCAGATCTGGGATTATTTTGTTAATGTCTTCATATATATGTAGTTGACTTGGTTTAAGTTCGTCAAAAAATATTTTATCAAGTCCAAATAATCGAGTCGTGATATATCCTTGAATTGCAAGAGCTATTGCACCTTTAGTGACTTATGAATGGCACATTTTCAGCATTTCTAATTCCTTCACATCATTTAGGAGAAAATCAATGCAAATACCTCTGTTGATTCATTCTACTTGTTATTATTATGTATCTGTTACAACGAATCTTGTTTGCTGCTCAATTATTCAACATTTATCAACCGTAAAATATGGACAAAAGTTGATTGAGAAACGGGGTGTTGCATTGAACAATCAATAAATTTTGCCACGATTCTTCCAGTAAACATTTGACTGATGTTACCAGGGTGTGAGTGTGGGTATGGGTGTCGGTGTGGGGTGGGTGTTGGGTGGGTGTGAGTTTGTTCTTCAGCGAGATTCACACCCACACCCACACACCCACACCCACACACCCACACCTACACCCACACTCACCCACACCCACACCCTGAATAATATTTATATAGAAATGATAAAGAGATCCTCGATCAAAAGTGTTGTTTCTAACGCACATTTATCATTGTTATCACCAAATTTACGTCAATCTCGATCGATTTAAGGAAAGCTCAGATTAACATTCGAACACATTCAACAATGTTCATTAATAGTAACAAGTT